TAAGCTTCTTGAGGACCCTTCTTCGAGCATTTGTTAAACCTGAACCAGTTTAAAGAAAAACCCCAAAGCTGTTGCCAACAACGGTCCAATTGCATGTCAGGAATGGAAAGGGGCCCGTGGTATCATTGGAACCCTCTTGCCGAAGTTCGTGCACGAGGCAGACTTGTCGGAGCTGACGCACCCACGGCAGCCGGCGCTGAAACTCTGTACAATGTCGGCAAACGGGCACTTGAACATCCCGCGCGAAGTCCGGGACAAGTGGCTTCAAGACCCGATGAGAAGTTGCTTGCCTAGATTGGGTTTGCCACCCTTTAAGCCTTTGGCCAACAAGTTTATTTCGATGTTGGTTACTCTGTGAATCCAAGACCCTGATTGGCGGACTCGCCTTCGCAACTTTGACGCAGTGTTCACACCTTCGTCAGAGACAACCCCAGCGCCAACCCCTGCTCCTACACAAGCTGCTGCTGAAGTTGACTTAGCAAGGGACCCGCCGTCTCAGGCTGAGAACACAACAGCTGCTGATCTTGCCCCGCCATCGCTCACGAAGGAGCAGTTTGATGAGAAGTACAAGACAACCACAGCTACGGTGAGCCTGAACATGGGGCAAACCGTCACATGCCACCTGGTCGAGAACAAGGTCTTCATCACATCCCCTTGCAAAATGAGGTTGCGTGGAACTATGGCTCAAGATCCCAAGCCAATTTTCCTCTATGCTGGCGGGTCTTGGATCAGCGATTCGGCCAAGGCTGGTGACGGAAACGCTATTAAACAAACATCTTTGGAGAAATTCCTTTTGCCCCTGAGGCCAAAGACTTCTTGGGGAAAACGGCCAACGAGAACAAGGCTGTTGAGTTCCGTCTTTCTGGCGGAGGCCAAATTGTTGCTTGACTTAACCCATTTTTTTACACGATGAGTATCGAACACAAAATGCCACTAAGTCACTAAGGTTCTCTTGGAGGAGCAAACGGCAAGAGGCCCCACTGATGGATCCCCCACTACGCTCTACGATACCGTGGTGAAGTTGGAAAAGCAGGGTTGCCTTGACCTCAAGGTTACGGGGCACACAATATCCCGCCCACCTAGCGTTCAGCGCGGCGAGGAGAGCGACAGGCCAGTCGGTGCTTCAACAAACCCTGAACAAGAGGATCCCTTCACTGCACTTTGCCCTGGTTGTTAGGCTGGAAGTGGCCCACACCGACTTCTCGGTGTTTAAGCCGAATCCCGTCAACGAGAAGAAGGCGAAGGGGACGAACGTGGCGGGTGTCATCGGGTTCAAAGCCCTCAGCAACTCTCCCTACTTACAGCTGGTGTGGCGAAGCTTGGCTTCATTAATGTCATGGCAAGGTCTTGTGACATGGTGGGGATTGGGATTTCTCCTGTATTGCACCCTAAGGTTTGCGGCACTACCAAAAAGAGAAAACACTTGGACCAGCAAAGCCCCTGTGGTATGTGAAGGACAACGGTTTCACCATGGAAGCTGGCCTCTTTTACCAGGTAGTTTAGAGAGCCTAGATGTGGCTATGGGGAATGGCACTGGGCAAACACATACCTCAATGGAACACCACAAGTCTGAATTCTATGTTCCCTTTTCGTGTTTTCCTGAGTTGATTTAGCTTACTTGCCTGGGTGCCAGTTTTGCACCACAACCAGCGCGCGAATGCTCAAAACAAGTTGCTAAGTTGACCTTGAAGTTTGTGTCGAAAAATCAGGTTGCCTCCCATGAACTTGCGAAAGTTCAATCAGCATGCAAAGTGGCATTTGGACTCAAAGCGTTGGGTGTGCAGTTCTCTTGAACCAGTCGAACCCATGGCAAATATTCCAGTTGTGGATTTGGAACTCGACTCCACTTCTGCGGATCACCTACTGCTGGGGAAGCACATGGCCAAGACGCTCGGATCGACTGAAGCACCTTCTACTTTGAGAGCTATGCCTGGAGCATCTACACATACTACCCCGTTGGCTAAGAAACCACCAGCAACAACCCTGAGCGCTGGAACTTCAGAGTGGGTCAAGCCAACTCTTCGCAGGTTGCCTATTTTCACCGTGAGCCCTTCTGTGGAGAAATGCTTGGCCGCCTCCAGCAGCCATGTTTCCAAGCTTGAAATTTGGTTGGGTTTTCTCTTGTTTACGAAAAAGCGACCAATAACATAACAATATACAATTATGTTACGTTGATTTATTCATTTGTCAACCAAGGCTCCCGAGGACAAGTCTAAGGCCCATCCGCTTCTACATGCTCAATGGAAAGACGCATCTCCGGTTGCCAGCACACAGTTGGATGAACCGGACTCGAACTTGGCCAAGTGTTTGTTTCCCGAGGGGACCTGTGACAACACTTCCTGGCCTGACAGGCAGCCTGAGTACGATCCATACTTCGAATCCATGGAGAACACCTTTGAGAACAAAACGCCTGATCAGGAACAGCAGGTTGCGGAGAGCCTCATGGTCGATTCGGAAAACACGGCCTTGGAAACCCAACCATTGGACATTGATGTAACGGAAGTGGTTATGGGCTGCTCCCCACCACCATTGATGAAATCTGGTGCTTCGGATACCAATGGCTTGCTGGACGGGTTGCCGCCTACGCCTAGTTCCCCCGAAGCTTAGCTGCTTTTTTTCCCGGTAGGTTTTGCAAACACATTTTCTTGAACACACCAAGCACACTCACACATCAGCCCCCCACACACACACACACAAGCGAGCGAAAGCCTTGATTTAAGTGAGGACTGCAAAAAGTCACCTGATGACACGGTGCCCACGGAGAAGCCCAAAGAGCCAGCCAACAACCCCCAGGCGTGTCCCAGCTTCATGTTTGTTTTGATTCGATCGAGTGCAAAACTCAAGCAGCCTTGACAGGCTCCGCCCCGCCGGCTGGTCGGAAAACGTAGCCGGGCTTTGCCGCACGACGCGCCTGTGCCTGCTACGCAAGCTTCGCAGGACCTTTTTGCAAGCTAATCGGAGTGTGCAATCTCATGTTTCCCACCGGCCCCAACCAGGAGGCAAGTGATCGCAAGCAAAGGAGGAAATATACTCGTATCACCCCGGACATGTCGCCGGACACAGTCAAGAAGATCAAGCAGGATCGCATCATGCGACGGAGGGAGAAATCCACTATTTGGCATAACAAGTTTGCCAAGAAAGGCGTTTCTTGGCTGTGAAATTCGCTGTCTTTACAATTCGAAAAGCTGTATAAAGTGGTATTAAACATATATATATATATATTTTTCATTCATGCTCCGTCTCCTAGGTTGCAAAGAAGAACAAGGTGGAGACTATCCCAGGGGCAACCGACAGCGAGAAGCAGACTAAGAAGAAAGGCGCTGGCTTGCGAGATGCTCGGTGGGCTTTCGCCCCTTACTCTGCATTAAACACTTCTTTTTGCCCCCCCCATTTTCTTGGTCACCTCCAACCCTTTTGACAATACAAGGTCCGCAAGTTCACGATGGAGAAGAAGGGGTCAGTGAAGGATGCCAATAGTGCTTGGATGCATAGCGAGGAAAGAGCCTCTTTTGTTGCTGGCCGCAATGGAGCACAGCTCTGATTGCAAAGGGTGCTAGCATTAGTTCCAGTTGGGTAGCAACACGTTTTCCGCAAAACGTGAGTGTGTTTCTTGCAAAACCAACCAGATGCTTTGGGGGAAAAAGCACCCGAGTGCTGCGTGTCCCCCTGACTTGCAACAGCTATTCTGTTTAAATTGACAGCCGATTACCATGAAATTGACTTTACTACTACTCCTACTACTCCTACTACTCCTACTACTCCTACTACTCCTACTACTCCTATACTACTCCTACTACTCCTACTACTACTCCTACTCCTACTCCTACTCCTACTCCTACTCCTACTCCTACTCCTACTCCTACTCCTTCTACTCCGACTCCGACTCCGACTCCGACTCCGACTCCGACTCCTACCACCACACCGCCACCGCCACCACCACCACCACCACCACCACGACTACGACTACTACTACTACTACTACTACTACTACTACTACTACTACTACTACTACTACCCCTACCCCTTCCGCTACCGCTGGCACGACCACTACCGCTACCACAACCACTACTTACTGATGACAATACTTCTAACAATAATCACAAAACACAAATATACAGCCCTATCTGCGTGTTTGTATAATAATGACCATATGTGTTCACACATGCAGTGTGCATACATGTTTGTGTGTGTGTGTATGCATCATAGTTATACACATAGTCATCTATGTTTGTGGGTGTATATCTACAAATATAGTCGTATGTATGATATGTGCGTATCCATAGTTTTGACACGCATGAGTTTGCTGGCTTGTGTAGATGTGCATGTATGTGTGTAGACACACACACACGTGATTGCAATTCAAACACAACTGATTGCATATGTTCTGCGTTGTCCAAGCTGCGCTTGCCTTTGCTTGGCAAGTGGCAAGGGCTTTGGATGGACTTAGAAGCTCGGCAGGTTACAGCTGGCGGCCTCAAATGACTTGCCACATCGTGTCACTGGCTGAGGGGCAAGACAGCGAGACTTTTTACAGTGTGATGGACATTTTAGTATCTTCGGATTCACAACGTATGCCCGTGTTTTCGTCGCGTCAACGCGCTGGATATTGGAGAACTTGCTTCGATGGGCGCTTGCGAGTGGCATCCCCTGCGTGAGGGGCCTCGAATATTTCAGCAGTAGACTCATCTCACATGTGTACCTTTGAGTTGACCCTTGGGTTTGTCAGGGAACCCCCTCGAATAAAGTAAAACATGGTTTGTCCCAAAATAGGGGAACCCCCTCCAAAAGCAGTAGAAGCAACATGGTTGGCTTCAACCCCCTCCAACAAAAATAACATCCAAACCTTGTTGCTTCTTTTTGGTCTACTTTTTTGGAGGGTACTATGGTTATCAACCCTCTGCGGTTAGCTTCTTTTGTGGTTATCTTCTTTGGTGCCCTTTTTGGCTTCAACATCGCTGGCTTAGCCAAAAAGGGCCCCGAAGAAGCTCGCCGACCGCGAGGCGCGGGCTCCGCCCTGGCGGAGATGCAGCGGCCGCTGCCCACCTCGGGGCTGCTGCTGCTGCACACCGCCTTCGCGCCTCGACTCGGGCGACGGACGGTCCCGGGGGCTGATGGGGGAGCGGGGGGTGTGGGGGGGGGGGTGTGGGGGGGGAGGGGAAGGGGTGGCCCTTACTTGACTGCTATTGGGTAACGGATCTTTAGAGACTTTAACTTTTTTGGGTGGGAAATCAACGGGATTTCCACTAAACCCACAAAAAGTTAAGCTTTTTGCAGAGGGATCCGCAGCAATCAAGCTTAGGCAACAGCTGGGGGTGGGTCCAGAAAATAATATGGGTTGTCCTGGTGAATTGAAACATGGACTAAAACCTGCGGACCCCTGATAATATAAGATTGACCCATACCCAACTTGCTTCGTGAGTTCCTGGACTTGAGTCCTTTTTTTTTGGAATTGGGACAATGTGGTAAAGAAAAAGTTTGAACTTTGGTTGGCCAATCTGCTCACGGGTGGGGACACCACCCCATGTTTGAGAACAAAAGTCAGAGTATCCACACGTCACGCTTCCTTCAAAGGCAACCACCAACATAATGATACATGTGGGTTTTACGTCCTTTAACATGCTGAGCCGACCACAGAGACCCCTGTTCAGTACTCAGAGAGCAAAATCATCTATAGTCTGAACTGTGAATTTTGCGGGTTTAGCGGGGACAAGAAGGGGGTCACAATCAAACGGGTGTGAATTTCAATAGGGGACCCTTGACGGACATGATTGAGGTTGGGATTCACGTCCACCAACTTGTGAGGGGCTAAATATCCCAGAAAGCCAGGTTGCCCATTGCCCGGGCCCCAATTGTCCCATCAAGTGATGTTGCGCACCAGAACCTAGAAAATCACATCACATCATGGTGCGGAGTTGTTTCGTTTTGGACACCTTCAGCTGCAGGCCTTTGCTCATAGTGGCAATCAACTTTCAGGAAAGAACCTTTCTTCTACTGGAGCCATGAGCAACACTGCACTTGGCAACAGCATCTTCAAAGTGTGTTTTCAGCTAAGCAAGTGTGTGTTTGTGCGTGTGTGCATTTGCATTTATGTTTATCCTGTCAATGGCCGCATTGGCTTTCATGCTCATAGGTAAAAGTCTCTCTGTAATCTTCCAGTAGTAGTCTGGCAGACATCCTGCAGTCTTATAATATTTGTGTAGTCTTCCGGCTCAATAGATTGACAACTTTCGTAGAAGGTTCAACTGTAACAGATGTCAGATGAAATGGCATTCGTGCCTGGCAAGAGGGGGCCAAATTGGGCAAGTGGGTGTGCACTCCCGGTGGTTGGTGTCCTTCTGATTTACTTGTTTCCCCAACATCTGAAGCCGGGCCTCTGCCGCGAACCGGAGTGCTTCGGAGCTGAAGGGTTGGGGTTGCTGTTAAGTACCTGAACCCTCAAAATTCCCTTAAAAATGGGTTTGACCCCCAAAATTATGGGGTGATGTCCCATTTTTATGGGTAGTTTGAGTGTCCAGGTATATCTCCTGGGCTCAGTTTGTACCAGTTCCCATGTCATTCCAGTTTCCTCGCGGGAAGCTTCTCATGGGCCATTCAAACTACGAGCCCCGTGAAACGGATCGTGTTGCTCCAATGAGATTCCCCCCTTCTTTCCAGGGGTCGGGTCTTTCCGGAAACGAAGAAACCATAAAAACACAGGGGGTACCAACAGCCACACAATTGCTACTCTCCCAGCATGGGAACCCTGGAGGTAGGCCATGCTCCTCTTTCAGAGACGGTAGTGGGAGCGGATGGGGTGACTTCCCTTTGCAGCATGCTTTGCCGGCCGCGCGAAAGAATGGCTAGGTTTCCCGGAAGTGCCTTTTACCAACTATTTTGGGGGAGGGTCCCCCTACTAAAATAGACTACAGAAAAAAGGGTACCCCTGTTCTAGCCTCTCTACTGGAGGACCTAGGGATCCTTCTCCAGTTGTTGTTGATAGCGCCACTTGACGTGGGTGCTGGAAGCGTCGCTTTGAGGTCAACAATTTTTGCCCACTGTCCGTCCTAGAGATCCTTCTCGTAGCGGTGTGTGGGGTGCCGACGAAGATCATCATTGGGCAGCTCGGCTGAGAGAGCCCATCAGAGACACAGACGGGCTTTATCCGTTTGACCGTTTTCCTGTCAAAAGAAGCAACCCTCCCTTCTTGGTGCCTTCATTCGGTCGACAAGCAGTCGAAAGATAAACTTGCAATCCCTGCAAGGCCAGTCTTCACACAGCCAGATTTGCCCTGAGAGTTAGACGAGACACTACCGGGCGTCGTGCAGGTTGCGCTGTTGGATCACTTGTGTGTGTGTGTGTTTGTTTTGCGAGGGTACCCTATTTAGGTTAGTTTATAGAAAGGGAAAGCTGAAGGAACACCATCTTCGAGGGTCCCCCCTATTTCGGCACAAACTTGGCATCCAGGCTTCTTCCAGACTGGAAGGTGACGCTGGAGCAGGCACGTATGGGCAGAACCCAGTGCAGGAACAAGTTTGCCCTTTCGTTGCGCAGTGGGCTTCACCCCAAAAACCGACTTTTGGTTGGTGGGGTTTGGGGTTCCCTGGTGGGTTCGCTCCAACAAAAGGGGAGTCAAGCCCATCTCAAGGGGAGGATTCCCAGATTTATGTCGGATGCCCGATGGAGCAAGACGGCTTGCACCCCGGTTGGGACGTTTAGCCAGCGCCAGTTCAAACAATCGAGTTCAATACAACGACTGGCCTTTATCTTTGGCTGCCGGAGTTTCAGCACCAACCAAAACGGCCTTGCTTTTTCCTTGGCATGTGCATGTGACTTTTCCACCAATGTCGGGTTCATATAGCGAATGGTTGGAAGGTTCACTCCACTATTTCCAGCAACAAGCAAACAAAACGGGGTCCCTCCACATCCCCAGCAACCACCCTCCCAAATACACCCTCTTGGGAAAAGCTGAAGCAGATCAAACAGGCAAGTGTCATGAGTATATAATATATCTGTGTATATGTTAGATGTATTTGTGTGTTTGTCTCAAATGGGGGACTCCTCCAACCAGGTGGTTTCCTTGTCGTTTTCCTCTAAACCACCCCCAAACAAGGTACTCCCAAAAGAGATAGACTTCCAGGGGTTTTCCTCGAGCAAACAAACTCGTGAGAGCGCAGACCTGGTAGGCCAATCAGGTGGTTTCCTTTGGTTTCCCTCTAAACCAATCCCGAACAAGGTACTGACACCCAAACAAATTTTCCTCGCGGACGTACCTGAAAGACAATCCGACAGTCCTGGTAGGCCCACTGCGCAGAGCAGCCTGGGGCCACCACCATCTTCCGTGACATCTTGCTGCCACCGCTGGTCTGTGCCTGCCAGCCCCGCGGCAGAAGGAACACCCCGTACCAACCATGAAAAGGGCCCCCCCGCTTTTCTTGAGCCGCACCTTGTTAGAGGGAATCCCCGTTTTGCAGTTGTAATGGGGAGCCGAATGGAAACCACCCCTCTTTGGAACGAGTGAGGATTTGGTATCTCCATGACCCTTTGTGCGCCTTCTCTGACAGTTATGGTGCCCCCAAGTTCTGACGTGTCACGGCACCCGGTAGCCATGAGAAGCCAAATTGGCTTTCTAAACAAGAGATCCACTGTGGCCCACGTACATGGGCGTGTGTCTTCTGTTGAGGCTACCCGGGTACCCTTTTTGGGGTTGTAAAGGGAAACCAAAAGGAACACCATTTCTATCATCCCATGTTCACATACCCGTATGTCTTACGGGACCTTTTCCAGAACCGCGAGACTCGCCTGGCCGAGGTTCGTTTTAGCCATTTGGCGCGACGAGACCATGCGACTGGACCTGCTTTTGCGGGACCAGCTCCAGATGCAGCGCCTTTTGGCTTATTCCCATGTCAGTGCTGGGGTGGGAGGTGGGCTAAGACGTCGTCCCGTTGTGAGGTACAGGCAACTGCTAAGAGGTCGTCCTGTTTTTGTTTGTTCTGGATTCCTTGTTCGATGTTTTTTGCCATACTTGTGGTTGAATTGGTGGTTTAGATTGGTGCTTTGGGGGTTGAAGGGGGCAAAGGAACCATTCAAGGGAACCCCCCTTCATTTTAGGCGAACTACTTTCTCACTAGGGGTTTTCGGCCATGGTGGATAAACATGTGGGATTGGGGGAAGGGGTAGCGCTTGTTGGACATGTGTTGAAACATGACCCTGGCCCCAGATACGATGCCCAAAAGGAACATGTTGCAACATGTTTGTTGGGGGGAAGGGTTTGTTTTCAGGCTCCTCTGCCTCTCCTTAGTCAGGGGCCTCAACGTCCCCATAAATGCGCAGCTTTCATAAAAGCGTGGATCCGAAAGCACGGCATCGTTGAAACATGGCGACAAACTCATTTGTGAAAGTCCCTTTCTCCCCACCACTGCTTTCTCAGTTGGTGGATTCCCTGGTATCACAGAAATTGGCCCTGAAACCCGGTGTTCCAGCTTGGTCCCTTCTATTCCAAGCCCGCCCCACAAAACATACACAGGGCCTACACCCCACTTGCAAGCTCGCGCTAAATTGGCAAGGTGATGCTAGGGAGTTGGTGTCCGGGGTCTTCTAATGGTTTCTTTTGGGGTTTCTTGAGCGGTGCCCAATCTTGGCCCATGTGCTGCTTTCACGGGCCTGAAGTCTTGTGCCCGATGCCACTGCAAGGTCTCATTGACCGAGCAATTCTTTCAGAGTGATAA